TGCATTCAGTCATTCAGACGAAAGGATGATCGGCACGGTTACTTGAGTGTAACTTAACCATCGCTCCGCAGTTTTGAAAGTTTGTACTAATCTAGGCAGACTTGATATTCAAGCTTACCTCTAGAACATTCTCCTTGCATTTCTTGTTTCATGTCAACAAACTCAGTCTTCAAAACCTTTACCTCCTTCGAAAGATCTTTTACTTCGGAATTTACGTCTTCTACTCTTGTCTTCATATCTTTTACGTTTGACCCGACATCTTCCACTTGAGTCTTAACATCTTTCATTTCTGCGCGAACATTCCCCACTGGAGCTTCTAGATTTTTGATGTCTGACCAGACTGCTTCTACTCGTGTCTTAACATCGTTAATTTCTGATCCAACATCGCCTACTCGAGTCATCACACCTGTTACTTCGGTCTTCATATCTGATGCATTATTTTCCATTCTTCTCCCGACATCTTGTATTTCCAACTTCAGTTCCTTCATGTCTAACCCAACATCATGTACTCTTGTCTTGACATCAGTTACCTCAGCCCTCACATTTTCTACGTTTGAATCGATTTTATTGAGGTGTTCATCGATCAGCTCAAACTTGATGGCAGCATCTTTTTCTTTCTTCAGTTCGTCTTCTAGCTTTTGAAGTCTTGTAGTAGGAAACTCTTCCTCGCCCATGTTTCCAATCTCATCGAGTTTAGTGGTGCTTTGTCCCAATGCAGTAAAGGCATCTTTTGCCAGCACAATGTAATTATCAAAGGTTGCTTTGTCAATCTTTCTCGTAGTTACCTGATGGCAAAGTGTATTTCGTAACAAACGCAGTTGGTCCAGTGCTAAAGTGTAAGTCTCTGCCGAGTCTCCAATGGGGCTGATAACAGACCAATGAAATGTTCCAGGTGGCAATGCACGGGGTTTGACGTAAAGTTTATCCAAAGTGCTCATACCACCAGTCCCGTCTGGCTTCGCAAAGGTTTGCGCAAACAGAGTAGCTTTGAAAAGAGCTGTGCAGTCCTATTCCTTAGAGGATTTGTTCAGCATTGGTACTTTCTTTGCTCCACCTTCTCTTCCCAGGAAATTGTTTAGAACCGTCACGCTATCGTCCCATTTTGGGGCGCCAGGTGGAGAAGCGACTAGAGTGTCCCACATGTAAACGAAGACTTGACGAAGGAAAACTGGAAACTCATCCAGTACAACAGAGGAGAACTTGAAAAAGTTTAGTTGTTCAGGATTAAATTCCATGATTGTAGGGCATGCAACGGATGCTTTTAACGAGCGGCGAAGAAACCGTACGGACCTGGAAGGAATAGGAATAGGTGGTGCGTTTGTTGTTCAACTAACTTGTTAAAAAGTTTGAGTCAACAAATGTTTTACTGATATCCAAATGCAAACAATCGCCTTCAACTATCTCTTGACGGCTGGCTTGACTAAGAAGTTCTTTGTGCAACGTTTTGAGTCAGATCCTAAAGGTGATTCTTCAAATTGAATTAAATTAAGAGCCGTTTGAACTTAACAAATGGTAAACACCACAGCGTACACTATTGAGTTATGGATGTACGCGGGAGGTTGCTAAGCAAGAAAGAAGCGTAAGAGTCGCTCGAGGCGATAGCCGAGAGCGACTCTAGCTTCTTGAGTGCTTAGCAAACCTCCCAAGTGCATCCATAACTCAATAGTGTACGGTGTGGTGTTTACCATTTGTTTTATAACATAACATTGATACATTGTAGCTAAAGAGTTCCCTTTTATTTAACAAATCTTACGTGACCAGAAAAAACAAGCGCGCGCGGAAAAATAGTCTTTGCATTTGCTCACGTCAGCAGCGTACACCCATGGGCAAATGGGGGACGCTAAATTGACCAATCAGAGCGCGCGCTTTACTTTGGTTATGTTATAATTCGAATTCCGACTCGCTGGATACCTTACAAGTCGTTTATTGGGCGCTGCAATATTGTTGACATCATTCCTGAGTTTACCGGAAATCAAAACACGGACAGTAGTAAGGTTAGAAGCGATGAAATGATTACAACAATATTCTTGCTTAGAGTCATTGGCGGGGAAACTTCGACTTCTTCGTTGCTCCACATTCGTGATAAATACCAAACACCTTTCTTAAGTTTGAGTCTAGTCTAGCCGAGCTGAGTTTCTTCGTAGCTCAGTTAATAAGGCATCCGACCACGAAGTAGGTTGGACCCAGAGAAATCCGAGGTTGTGGAAAGGAGGCGAGGCTCCCGCCTCGCCCTTTATCCCCTTCCCCACTACACCCACTCTTAACTGTGCTGGAACATCAAGACAAACCATAGGACAATATTCGTGTCCAGTACTCCTCATCATTTCCGAAAAAAAAGGATTGCATGTCTAGTCTGTTACATCAGGCGTTTAATGCCAATTTAGGTAAATAACATTGTTTGAACAGCACTGAGCTTCTTTAAAATTACAAATTTTCAAATTTGATTGTGTATCTTTATTCACACAAACTGCTTCCGAAAGGGGAAAAGCCTTAGAAAAAGAAATTGATCCATTATACTCTAATCGAAAGGCGTTTGGTCACAAAACTTTTAAAAAAGTAAAAGAAAAGAAGAGGGGTGCGGTGCGGTGCCCCCGCCGAAATTCCCACCTCCTTCCCCTCCCCCCTTGCCTTCCATGGAACTCGTCGTAGATAAATACAATTCTCGTTAGGGACCTCAAATTCCCTCCAAGTGTTTAGCATTTTACCTTGGGTTCTTTTTTTTTTTTCAACGGTATTATTTGCATTTATTTTAGGGAGCCAAGTACCTCTACAAGACTTGCATGACAGTGCCTCAGGTATAACTTTCATTTTAATTATGAGTTTGAACAAAATTGGGAGCAAAAATATTTCATGCTAAACAGAGTGTATTTCCGATGCCACGGTGGGTTACACCCCTTTTCGGAAGATTTTTTTACACGCTTAGGCGATGCACCAGTAAGGCATTTTAAGTAAGATATCAACATTCTAGCAGCTAACTCTCCCCGGTGGGTTAACTACAACTATCAAACTACAAGCCTCGCTTTGATGAATGGAATCAATTTAATGACGTCACTTCGCATAAATCAAATTGTCACGAAATATTAAGTTATACGGGCGTTAAGTGCAAAATGTACGATGTACACATTTTTCCCAGAGAATCATTAAGTTCTACCTAAAATTTCAGATCACGTTTAAGGCGGAAGTTTGAAATTTGAAGCTATTAACTTCCTATGGGAATGATCACACAATGCGGTCAATAAGTTTGGTTAACTACCCTTTCATAACATTCCCCTCGTGAAAGCTAGCAAACCTTTAAATTGCAGCATATAATATTTCTCAAAGATGTTGCGATTTTCACTCTAATTTCCATTTATTTACTGCAACTACCATTTGGGATGAGGTTATTGATCGAATGTTCCAGAATGGTATAGAATTTCTAGGGAAAGTCCCAACTCATAACCGAAAGCGGAAATAGGTATCTAATACACCAATAAACTAAGTAAATTTCGCAAAAAAAATAAAGGAAAATTTTGTTACGTTGTTTAGTCATAGTCATGGTCGTGAAAAACTTGTGATATTGACCTTATTTCCTCGAATAAGCGCCCGGGCGCAAAAGCTGTGCCAAGATTTTTCAAAGGGGGGGTCTCATTGTGACAAACAAAGGGTAGTCATCAGTTTTCGCCACCTGAATATTGTAGTTGATTGTTTAAAGTGCACCTAAACCCAAAAATTTTTTTTCGCTTAACGAAATAAGCGTATTTTTTGGAGTATTTCTGTGCAAACATTTTTTTATTTGCTCAAATCCTCAATTGTCTGTGCCCAGTCAAAATACGGAAAATCGGCCGCCATCTTGCCCCACGGCCGAGTTTAAAGAGGAATGGCTCTAGCGGATAATGTGACGTCAAATCGAGAACACGAAAGTCTGCATTTCACACATTTTCGCTTGTTTGGGAAGGTTGTAGTCGATTTTGTCCGAAAATATGCCCACTAAGTGTGTCGTAGGAGGATGTAGCAACGTGCGAAATTTGCAAGAGGGTATCACGCTTCATACATTCCTCATACAACACACCTGGTCGGCATATTTCGGACAATATCGACCACAACCTTCTCAAACAAGTGAAAATGTGTGAAAAGCAGACTTTCGTGTTCTCGATTTGACGTCACATTATCCGCTAGAGCCATTCCTCTTTGAACTCGGCCGTGGGGCAAGATGGCGGCCGATTTTCCGTATTTTGACTGGGCACAGAAAATTTAAGATTTAAGCAAATTAAAAAATTTTTGCACAGAAATACTCCAAAAAATAAGCTTATTTCGTTAAGCGAAAAAAAATTTTTGGGTTTAGGTGCACTTAAAAAAAAGACTTACAAAGGAGGGTCACAGACACGCCAAGTACCCCCTCATTCTAGTGCTAAGATTAAAATCCAGTATTGATTTAGAAAAGAGTTTTATTCTCTTTGCTGAAAAACAGATTCCTTTCTTTAAAAATGGTTTGAAAATTCAAAACGTTTCTAACATTGACTTGCAACTCTGCCTTACATAACTGCAAATTTGTAACATTTGTGAAGCAGGTTAACTTCAAGAGAAATAAAATTTCGCGCCCCTTTTCCAGGATTGAATTAACTAAAAAGAAATAAAAATTCGCTGAGCCTTTGCCAGGATTAAATTTACTCCACAAATACAGCTCCAGACAGCACTTGACTGATTTTAGTGTAGCAAGACGGACAATAAACTAGACTGATTGAGAGATAGCTGTATTCAAAACTAAAAAGAGTGGCTTGCCTTCCATAGACGGCGGCCTAATTCATTGAAATACATTCCAGTGGTGATCAAAAAATGTTCTTCCAGATGGCTTTCAACGATAAAAGGTGATCATTGTTTGCCTGTTACGTCTCGTTTCTGTGTCCTAGAATTTCATAATTTGCTAATTAGATCATGATATTCAGTTGCTTGAAAATTTGATTTCCTGCAAGAGAGTTTTAACTTTATCGTATCCTTTTTTGTGTCCTGTTCCAAGACTTTTGATGAATATGCGCGAATAAATAAGAACCAAAGCAAATCCAGCGAAGGAAAGGGTTTGCAAGAGAGATTTACCTCCCCTTAGTGCGTTTTAATCTAACTATTTGCTAAAATATTTTTTCTATTTCTTGATCGTTTTTACGAACTAACCTACAAACGTTTCTGAAAATCTTAGTTCAGGTTATGGGTTGTAATCAAACAAGTCACTGAATGTTGAGGACCTTGATTGACCACAATGCTACTCCTCCGGGTACAGCCACCTGCCGGGGCAAAGGAGAATTCTTTGAGTCCTTGTTTGATTCTAACGGTTCAAACTCTATCAAAACAACGTTATAAACTGGTTAATTAGAAATCATGGAGCTTTCGCACGTGCCTTAATCGCTCTTTCCAGCAAGCTTCGCTTTGAACTTTAATCACAGTCCAGTTCGTCTGCACTCAGAGCTTCACAGATACGGTTAATGAGCTCCAAGGCTTCATCTGTATTTTGGTCCTCCACTGAAGCTTCCCTCCTCAGTCGCGAGGCCTCCTGTAAAGATTCTAGAGCTCCACGAAGGTCTCCTAATCTGTACTGTGCTTTACCAAGCCGATGATATGTTGATGCTGTTAGTTTATAGACCTCCACCAGCTCGGCGACTCCTTCTCGATTTCCTAGCATGTTGGATCTTATGCGCACGGCCTCGTGAAATGCTTTGACAGCTGCTTCGTGTTCATCTTGGTAATAGTGACACTCTCCTAAACAACAGAAGCTGATTGCTGTATCTTCGTGATCACCAAAGATATCTGACCTCATCTTGGAGGCTTTTTGAAAGGCTTCAATCGCTGACTGGTTATCGTTCATCTCTTTATGAATAAGTCCTTCCAAATGCAAGCTTACAGCTGTTTTTTTGTGCTGTCCCAGTGACTCCACATATCTTCTCACAGCGTTTCGGCACGACTGAAGAGC